TTTTCGATATTCATTCCTTCTAGCCTTAGGGGTTCTTTCACCAGGATGTTGGTGCTTTTTGCTTGGCAGTCTTGTCCAATTTCTCGGATGTGAGTACCAAGCTAAGGTTGCAAATCCAATTTGTGTAGTTGGGTCCTTTGAATTTGTTATCATCTAGCAACTTAGCGAAGGGACCATGTGCCATTTTTGACAAATTGCACGAGTAATTAATCCGTGACCTAATTATTGTTTCATGTTATGTATCGTAGAATGAATTTTCATCTCCATAATGAAATGGGCTTACCTTGTTTTAATCTAAACCAAACTAGGTTTCACAAGTGTGGGCCGAATTGGTTCATGCAATGGCCCATCAAACCCTTGGCCTAGGTCCAAAATTGATAACATTATCAATGATCTAAGGGGCTGTTAACAGTCCCCTAAGAATCCTAGGTTCTGCCTATGTATGGTGTACCAAAGCTAAATCTTTTAGGGTAATAATCCCTTGATGGATATTTGACCCTTGATGGATCTCACTGGTTGATACATCAAAGACAACTTAGTCCAAAACCCAGTGTAGTATCATAATCAAGTCTGGGGTTAAGTGCAAATTTCCAGTTTTGCCCATCTATCTCCCAGGTCCAGGGCATAATTGGAAATTGGTCTGGGTTCAGTACCCACAGACTACTTGGGGTCTAGCTCTAGTAGCTAAGAGAATCTACTTCACCAATTTGGCAACACACCAGTGTCATCCTTGTCAGGTAAAACTTTCGAAGTCTATCCAATGGATAAGAACATTCTAAACTAACACGAGTCTCATAAGTGTCCGGTTTAAGGAGTAATTCATAGAAACACACCAATAAGAAAATGAAACAATAATATATTTTATTTATTTACTGATAAATGTTTATGTACATCAATCTGGTTGGAGTTAAGGGCATACATTGTCTAACATTTATGAGAAACTTCACTCCAAGAGTGAAGGTCCCTACAAAATCATTGTGAAAACCAGTTCCAATGGCTATGTCTTAGAGCTGTTAAGTGACATGGGAATTAGCCCAATCTTCAATGTTGAAGACCTAAATACATATAATGGCCATAGTGATTGTCCCACAGTCCCATTGCCTAAATTGCCTTTGGTTCCATCTACTGATGTGCCTGAAGACATACTTGATGAGAAGTTGATTTTTACACCAAGTGGGGGTTATCGGAAGTTTCAAGTAAAGTTGGAAGGCTTGTATCTCTTAATCTAGACCTTTATGAGCAATATCATGCCTTTAACTTGCTAGGGTCAAGTTCTTTTAAGCCAGACCATGCTTGAGAATTAATTTATACTAGGCTGAATGAAGAAACAATGAAATTTGTAGATTATAAAAGAAAATTAAGCTGGGCTTGTTGGACAGTTATGCCCTTAGCTCCAATCAGATTGATGTATCTTTTGACATTTATTATAAATGAATAAAGTACATAATTGATTCATGTCATTGTGGTGTGCTTTTGTGTTTTTACCCATAAATTAGACACTTACGAGACTCGTGTTAGTTTAGAATCTTCACAGCCGTTGGATAGATTTGAGGAGGTCTATCCTGCCAAGGCTGACACTGATGTGCTGCCAAGTTGGTTGGGGTGGCTTGTCTCAACTGCCAGGGTGAGGCCTAAGGTACATGCAGTGTGGGTTTTCTTGCAACCTTGAACCAGACCAATTTCCAGTATTGCCTTCGACCTTGGAGACAGATGGGCAAAATTGGAAAGTTACACTTGACCCCTAGACTCGATTATGGTACTGCACTAGGTGTCGGATTGGGCTATCTTTGATATGCCAATCAATAAGATCCTTAGAGGGGGTCAAAACTTGGGTGTGTTGGGGCAGTCTGAGAATTCACCTGAATGATCAGGGAATGCACTCTCTCTGATGGAAACCTAAATTGCCGGCAGTTGATTTCAAACGTTGAAATTTGGTTTTGCAAAATTTATTTATATAAAGATATGCATATATATATTATGGTTTCATAATGTTTTTAAAAGGTTTTAATTCTCGGGATCCAGGTGAGTAGAGAGTGCAGCACTGTTCCTTGCAGCTGAGGGAGAGGTCCTCTCTTGTCGGGCTGTGTTTATTCATTATGGGCTGAGAGGTTAAGTGTAAGACTATTGAGGGTAATACCTGATGGGCTAATTTTGCATCTGTCCACAGTCCTTGGGATTTCATAAGGTGGTTGGACCCAATGACCATTTAGTGTAAATGTTGGGCCCATTGAGAGTCCATAGTGATGGACTCAGGGGTTCACTGTGATATACAATGAATTCGACCAGGCCTTGTAACAAAGGCTGGGTTGAACCCATGTGGCTGATGTGTAGATCAATGTTAAGGTCCCACGCCGTACAAAGAGAGCCAACTGGGCAGTAGGTTAAAGAGTAAGTGAGCACATACGCTTAATGGGCCTAAGGCCCATTTGAATTGGGCTTAAGTTAATTAATTAAAAGGGGGCGAATTCAGTTTTAAACTGATTAGGATTAGTTGAAGGATAAGATACATCTTATCCATTTAAGAGTCCAGATCCAAATATAAGATTTGGATTAGGAAACTCTCTCCTAATTAGATTAGGAGGCTGATCCAGATTAAACGAACAACAAACTGCAGAATTCTTGTTTGTTATTGCCGCCCCACCCAGTTCGATCTGCACTTGTGGATCTGATCAAGAAGTGTTGTTGATATTGTTTCTTGGTAGAAGAAACAATCTGAAGCCGTGCTTACCAACCCTTACCAAATTCTTGTTGAAGAATTCAGGTTCTTGCTGAAGAACCATCCTGTTGATCCTGCTTCACTACATAATGTGTCATCTTCAGTGGAAGCGGGTTTTGGTCTTCTCTTTGGGCGTGAACACCTACGTTGGGAGCTACTGTTACTTCGTATTAGGTATATCCCTCACTTATCTTTTGGTTTCAGATCTGGTCCAGTTTTGGTTTCAAGAACGAACATTGAAAATGCAGTTTTCTAAATTAGGGAATACGATTCCCGGATGGGAGTGAAAGAAATTTTTGAAATTTTGCCCAACCTTCCTATAGGGTTCGGCCATCCATATGATGGATCTCCCATCCCTTCAGGGCTATGCTTGAGAATTAGTTTATATGATAGTCCTCTAAATTGTATCTATACTAGGTTGAATGAAGAAACAATGAAATTTGTGGATTATAAAAGAAAACTAAGCTAGGCCATGGTTGAGAATTAATTTATATGATAGTATTCCGAGAGGTTGGCGGCTTTAACAAACTCAATAACTTAGGCTCAGTTTGGAAGGAGTACAAATACAAATATGTAGAGTGCAAAACTATGTATTCTGTATTAATTTCTATGTATTTGAACTGTACATATTTGTATTTGTACTCCTTCCAAACCGAGCCTTAAGGACAACCTCAAATAACAAGACAACCTCAAATAAAGTTCATATTTATTTCATCAACCTCAATATATAGAGGCATAAGCATTCCTACCAAACAAACTCATACTTGACCAAGAAAAAGAGTACATAAGAACTTTTATTCTCATACACAATTTTCAAACCAGGAACTAGTAGATACAGTAAATCATAGTGATGCTATAAATAATATTTATGGGAATTTATTATAAAAATAAGCATAAAAATAAACTATAATTAGTAATTTTCAATTGTCACTTTAAGATTTTGAGTTCCATTTTAGCTGTTCATCTCAGTGTTGTCATACTCAGACTGGACTGGGCAGTTGTATGTGTTAACCAGTCAAAATTCTGGTTTTTTAATATACCAGTTCTTTTGGTTTTTTTAAAACCCTGAATAACCAGCTGACCTAGTTGTTTTGGTGAAAATTAGACATTTTTTAATGAACCATCTAGTTTTCAATGAAACTGCCTGGGCCAATCATGAGAGTTGCTTGTAGTTATGGTTAATGATAATTATAATGATCTCAAAAATGGTTTGTGGTTATGTATAAGGATAGTTATAAAGATAAAATGTTGTGCAGACAAGCATGAAAATGTGACTTCAATTCTGAAAATGTTCTCTTCATGGATTAAAACGCTGAAGGATGGATAGTGATGTCTCCAAAATTGAGTAATGGCCCTCATATATGGCACATGGACAAAACAAGGTTCTATTTACTGCAATTTGCATTGACTTTGATAAAAGGGTGGTGATTGGGGAAGTCCCATTTTTTATAAATGGGCATAGTAGGTGGTGTCATACTAGTACTTGTTTTAAAAGGACAGAAGTACCCCTCATTAGATAGGGAAATTTTTGTCTTGTCACTGGGGATGTTCACATTCTGTCAAAAATTGGATTTGCCCAAATGACCATAATAAAAACACCAATTGGAATTAAAATAGTGATGACCATTATCAGGGACAGGATGCTATGTGGTGTAATTGTCAAGACTGTCCTTACCATGAAATTAAATTCTAGGACCATGTTTTTGTTGAAGTGCATTATCTGTCTGATTTTGGAAAAGTTAAGGGTGTATGGATTTTCATCTTTCCATTGGATCAGGGTGCAGAATGTTGCTTCCAGAATATTCATTTTTTTTTCATTTATTTATATACTTTTTATTTATTTATGTATAACTTGCAGAATGGAAGGGAAAAACAGTGAATGGTATGGATTTTAAGGCCATGCAGCATTACCCTTGTCCCTCTTAGGATGGCAATCTGTCCTATATGCAGCCCAATATTAATTCCACTGCAATTGTATATTCTTTAAGTTGGCACTTATTTCTTTTGTCCACTGGTAGGTGGAGTTGGGGGGTAATTCTTGACTGGAACCGACTGGATTTCCTTGGTTTGTGCATTGTTGGAGCCAGTTTGAGGTTTTAGCTATAAGTTCTTCATAGGTTGGGGTGTGAGGTTTAATTTTTATTATCGTATTTCAACTCAGGTTCTGTTGAACGTTTAATTAAACCTTCACTCCCCCATCCTGCCAAACTAATTGTCATACCTGTGAAAGAATTTGTGTTCTCTCTAGAATGTATTTAATTTTTCTGTTTATCAATTCGTACAGGTAGATGTTGGTAAGCGGCCAGTGACTGGCCTTCGGCTATATTTAGAAGGGAAGAGAAGCAACTGCTTGGCGATTCACTTGCAACACCTCTCCTCCCTGCCCAAAGTCTTCCAACTACATGATGATCCAATGAGAAACTTTGCCCGTGAGTCTTATGACCGGAAGTATTATGAGAAAGTTCAGTGGAAGAACTTCTCTCATGTTTGCACTGCTCCGGTGGAGTCAGACGAGGATCTTTCAATTGTCACTGGGGCCCAGTTCCAAGTTGGAGATTATGGTCTAAAGAAAGTGCTATTCTTGCGTCTCCGCTTCTCAACGGTTTCAGGTGCCACTTTGGTCAAGAAGCCTGAATGGGATGGCTCTCATCGCCTTGGTCAAAAATCTGGACTCATATCATCTTTGATCAGTTCTCACTTCTCGGCAGTACAGAAACCGCCTCCACGTCCAGCTGATGTGAACATCAATTCAGCTGTGTACCCTGGTGGTCCACCAGTTCCTGTTCAGGCCCTCAAGTTGTTAAAGTTTGTTGACACGACAGAGATGACAAGGGGACCACAGGATCCCCCTGGATACTGGGTCGTCTCTGGTGCAAGGCTTCTTGTTGAGAAGGGAAAAATTTCTCTAAAAGTAAAGTATTCCCTCTTGACTGTTGTACCTGATGATGAGGTACTATAATATTAGTTTGCAAGCATAAAATGGCATGAGGCAGCTAGAGTGCAAAAACAAAAGGAAAAGCAAAAAATTGAAGTCTAGAGCATAAACACGAAGAAAAATTTGTCTTGTATAAATTCTTGGCCCGACCTTTGTTCTAGCCAACTGGTCAATGAGAATTATGTAGGATTGTAGGGTACTTGAAGTAGGAGCCATTGTTTGTACAATGGTAAGAATCTTGGGATGACAAGTTTGAGAATGTGGGTTTGAGTTTGTCGGCTGCTTTGTGCAAAACATGCTGAAGGTTAGGAGGTCCCTTTATGGTCATCTCCCAAGACCACGGAACAGGCACCACATTGGAATGGAAGAGCAGTGGTGGCTATTGTGATGGTTGTACTATAGTACTTTCTTTTGTTTATTCAACGCTTTATTTGTATTTTTCCATGATTATTCATTGAACGTTTGTTGTGGGCTTGTAGCTATAGTTGGAAAATTTGGCGTTGGCTTTGCATATGCTTTGTGCTATGGGGTCAGTGAAAATATGCCCCTGAACTTTCAATTGCGACACCCTTCAACTTCCTAGTTGTCAAGTTAGATGATAGAATCCATTAAAATATTAAAATACTTACCTAAACTTTCATTATTTTCTTTTTTCTCTTCTTAAACTTAAATGACAAAGTATCTTCATTTTCTCTGAATGAAACCATCTAAAATAATAAGAATCATTTCACTAGCATAAAAAATAGTTTTTTTTTTTTTGTTTTTAATTTTGTTTCATTTCACTCGCATGAGTCTCTCTTCATGACTTCATCCTAAAATATAAAAATTATACATTCCTTTTCTTCAATAATTCAAGAAAAGTCCAAACGAAAATCTATATTTTATTAGAATGGAACCTCTACTATTTCATTTGAATGTTTAATCTAATCAGAAATTTGTAAGGCTCTATTGGAGCAACCAAGAGGGCTTCAATGTTATCTTTACAAAATTAATCAAATCATAAATTATTCAAATAAATGAGAAAAAGGTATTAAGGTAGTATGGGGACTAATAAAAATTTCAAACATATGAATGAGACTCTTTTTCAAAGATAATTTGACTAAACTTTAACGGAGGGGGTATTTGTCACGTTGAAAATTTAGGGGTACTTTGTTTCAAATGAAGTTCAGGGGATATTTGTCATTGACCGCATAGTACAAGGGGTCTTTGTAATTTACCTTGAATTTTTCATACCGGATAGGCATAGGCATGGATATGTTATGAAACTCAAATACTTACCAATAACACTAGATATACATTTTATAAGACAAAATAAGTCATATACTATAAGAAATACATAATTTAATGGTTTATTATGTGAAGTGTTAACTATCAATATACATTATTAAACATTAAAAAAGATGATGAAAGAACTAAAATATGCATGCATATATTTAAAATTAAGATAAGTAAAAAAATGATATCTAAAATAAATCATATGAGAAAGTAATTGATAAGAAAATAAGGTAATTGAGAATCGTAAAGAAATTAATAATTAATTATATATCACACTTCAATCATAATTAATTATATGATCTTATAATAATTAGAATTTTTGTTACTAGTAAAGATTTTAATTAATTTTAAATCAATTTAAATTGTATTTAAAAATTATAAAATCAATAAAAATACTAAGATGACTAAAAATTATTAAAAAATTAATTGTGCTAAGAAGTAATAATGTTTTATTATTTTAAAAATTACTTTTATTAATTTAATGTTTATTTAAAATAATTACATTAATAAAGTTTTATAATTAATTTTAAACTTTTATAGCTAAAAATAAAAACTAAATTATTAATACAAACAAAAAATATTAGTAAAAACAAAAAATGTATTTGTTTTAGTTTATTTTATTAATTTAAAGTCCGCTTAAAAATAATAGGAATTAATACTGTAGGCTAAAGGGTAAAGATTATAGTGGAGGTCCACATGAAGGATGGTAGATGATCGGAGGATCAGTTGAGGATGTAAGGGCAAGGGCTAGAGAAGGGAACATGGAACACTAAAAGAGGTAGGATGTTAGATTAATAGGATTCTTGTGGTACTATCGAGGATGATCTCATGTGCCTCCCTTATTTATAGAGAGAGAGAGGTGTAGCTATAAGAGGGAACAAGAAAAATGACAAAGGGAAACTTTCCAACTTCGAAAAGGAGGTTACGTGGAATGATGCCTATTGTAGTTACGTTTGTAACTTCAAGAGAGAGGTTATGTCCTCATGTGAGTATGTTTGTAGCTACAACACCTTTTTGGAAGTTCACTTCTGGTTATGTGGAATGATACATCTTGTGTAGGTGTTTAAATATTTATAAATGGCATCACAAAGGAATTGATGTCGTTGTTGCATCAGGTGTTGCCTTAGTGACCTTTTGCGATGTCAGATCGGGTAACAAAGTAGATATGATTGTGTAAGAACTCTATCAGAATCGTAGTATTGGATATCTTTTGTGATATTGCATGATTCATTACTCGAGTTGTAGTGTTTGTTATTGTTATCATAGTATTGGGGTCGCTCTTTGCAATAAGGACCACCTTCTATCCAAGGATGTAATGCATGAATTTTTGGATTCTGAATACTAGGGTTAGACACTACTGTTCTGTGTCATAGTAGCTCTTTTCGGCCTACTTGAGTGTCCTACTAGCATAATAGATTAGGCATTTATGTCCTTTCTTGTTGTCTTGTGTGATGCCACACCCTTGTGCTTCCTAGTTGCTTGTAGTGTATAGGTTAAACTCTTTATTACTTTGAGGAGGGGACATAGTTGGTGCTTTAGTGAAGGTCTACTTGATTTTTTTGAAAGCTCTTCTAAGTTCCTCAATCCATTGGAATTGGTTGGTCATTTTGGTTAGGTTGAATAAGGGGGATGATGTTGGTATTAGTCTTGGAATAAATCTTTTGAGGAAAGATTCTTTGACTAGGATGTTTTTGAGCTAGGATTCATTCTTTTAGGGCGGTAGTTGTTCTAGGATGACTCTTACTTTAGTGTCATTTGGATGAATTCTAGATTGGTCAACCTTGTAGCCTAGGAATTTTCTTGACTTGACTCCCAAAGCACACTTTAAAGGGTTCAATGGCAAATTATACCACCTACATCTTGTGAATTCCTCAAAACCTCTACGTGATAATTCGTTTTCTTGGCTTTGACCATGATGTCATTCACATAGCATTTGATTTTTTTGTGCATTAGGTCATGGAAAACACATGTCATCTCTCTTTAATAAGTGCCCCGACATTCTTTAATACGTAGGGCATCATTTAATAATAGAAATTTCCTATGTGAATCTTGAAGGCAGTATGTGGAGCATCTAGAGGATCCATATAAATCTCATTATATCCACCGCAGGTGTCCAGAAAAGAGAAGAGTTCATGGCTTACTATATAGCATCTATGAGTATTTCCATGTTGGATAGTGGGAGCTCATCCTTTGGCTAGGCTTTGTTGAGGTCTCTAAAATTGACACAACAACTAAGAGAGTGGTAGATTTAAGGGTTAGTTTTACTACATTGTACGATTATGAGGTGGGAATGTATCTCATTTGAGAACTAACCTAAGATGGCCAACCACTTGTTGGAAGGGTTAGAATCCATCTTATGGATGGCCGATTCATGCTAGATGGCTGGGGAGAAATTTCAAAAAAAAATTTAACTCTAATGGGAACCAATTTTCTAGTGTTTTAAAAAACTAGAATTTGTTGGATCGATCTTGCACTAAACCAGACCAAATTTGAAACCAAATTAAAAGGGGAAATTATACTTGATATGGATACTACAAGCACAGATCCCAAGGTGGAAGTTCATGCCCAAATCAGTCCTGAAACCAGCCTCCACTAAAGATGGCACAGTGTATAGGGAAGCTAGTTCATCAACACTTTTTTTTCCAAAATTGCTATCCAACTTGCTTGGGTCGAATGGGGTGAGTGAGCCTGATATTCCTCAACGTTTTTTCTTGCAAAAACTGAAAAAAAAAATGATCAAAATAAGTTCTTGAAAGACTAGGTTGAATTGGGGTTTCTTGGAAGACAAGAGACAAGAAGAGAGAGCAAGAGAGTGAAGTCTCGAAGCCTATTTCGCCCTCTTCTCTTTTATCTCCTTATGGAACACTCTCCTAATCTAATTAGGAGATTATTAAAATCTGATTTGGATCTGGACTCTATTAAGAGATAAACCTTATCCTCTTAAGAGAATAGGTGCTCCATATGAAGATGTTGCATGATCGAAGGTGTTGCATGACCACAATTGAAGGTGTTGCATGGCCACTTTAGGCTTGATACTGTATGGCGTAGGACCCCACAATGATCTTACACAAATCCACATGGGTTCGATCTTACCCCTGAAAGAGGTTAGGCCAAATTCACTGCTCAGGGCAGTGAACCCCTGACCCAATCAGCATCACTTCAGTTTGGGCCCAACATTTACACCTAAATAATCATTGGATTCAACTACCCTATGAAAACCCAAGGATAATGGACTCAGGTAAGATAAAGCCCATCAGGTAAATCAATCCTGTAATGTTCTCTTATACTTAACCTCTCGGACCATAATGATGAATACTCTCTGCTTCACAGGGAATGACCTCTCCCTAGCTGCAAGGTACAGTGCCATACTCTCTGCTAAGATGGATCTTGGGATAAAAACCATTTGCAAACTTTTTCATAAAATAGTGCCCCGCCCTGAACCCACCTCATTATCATTCCTATACAATTGTTAATTATTAGTGAAATTGATAAAAATGTTAGCTTTTGTAATTATTTTTGTTTATTTAAAGTTAATCAAAATTTCATTTAAAAGTAATAAAAAACAATAACAATTATTAAAATTACTACAAATTATTAATAAAGCTAAATTTATGAAAAAATATTTGTTCTTATTAAATTATCAATAATTATTTTCTATAAATCAACATTAAATGAAAGATACAATTATTAAAATTTTAGATATTAACAATAACTTTGAATACTTTTAGTTAATTAATAACAAATTTTGATTATTAATTTAATATTAATTCATAGTAAATAAATTATTAAATCTTTTAGATTTTCTTGTGCATCGCATGGGTCTCTATTAGTACCAATATTAACATGAAACAACAATGTACTTTATCTATTTACAAATAAATGTTTATGTACATCATTCTGATTGAAGCTAAGGGCATACACTATCTAATGGCTCCCACTTGTAGTTAGGACCAATCGGGTATAAGCCTCAGTCCCATACTATCCACGTGTTCGTTAAACACTGTGTCAGTGGTTTTGTTGGTGAGTTTGCCACATTCTCCACCGATACTACCTTCTGAATTTGGATGTCTCCTCTACCAACAATCTTTCGTAGAACTAGTGTTATCATACAATAATGGAATGGGTGATGTGGTGTGGCTCCAAATTTCTAGATGAATTTCTTCATCCATAGTACTTGGCAGCCTCACATACGATAATGTACTTGCCCTCGATCATGGACTATTTTCTAACTCACTA